GGCAGCGCCAAAGCTGGGTGCCTTCCCGCCTCTCCCTGGCCTGCCGTGTCTTTGCTGCCGGCCTCTTTGTAGGGGACAAATCCTAGCGGGTCCTACTCGTTTGTAATTAGCGACCTTCTTAATTCCAGCTGTTCGCAGTGCGTGCAGAAACTTGCAGTAGGCACAGGGCAGCGGTGGGAATGGGCTGGCTGCTGTTCAGGTAAATAAGCAGTCACATCGCCTATGTGTAACAAGACCAGGTATTTATCCTGTAATATTTAATAGGGGTGCAGCTGTTGCTATGCATGAGAAGCCTTGGGTCATCCCTCTCTTTTTGTGGGGGTAAGGTAATAACCTGGGCCTTATGATGTGCCGAATGTTCTCCAGATTCAGGAGTATGTGTATGGCTGTAGGAGTTACAGGGTACTAAGGCTAATTTTCATGTTTGCCGCGGGTGGGAAGGTGAGAAGATTTGTAGTGCTTGCTCCCATCAGCTGCTGGACACTGTAGGCTAGGAACGCGGTAACTGTAGACACCTTTACTCCACGTTTTCTGCACCAGCCATGGTGGCCGCTGATCAGAACATAATTTTAAGAGATGACTTTTATCAGTCTGTGCCGTCACAGTGCTGTGAATATGCCCCTTCGGCAAGGGAAAATAAATCTCAGTAGTTCCGGTGTACAACAGCAGTTACTATCAGGCTTAAGGTGTCAGGTGGGATATGCAAGTGTTGCATGTCTGTTCAGATCTAGAGCATAAGTAAATTTTGCTTAGCGCCTACCACAGATGTGACAGTTCTCCTATACATTTGTTGGAGCTATGCATATACACACACACACACACGCACAGAGAATATGCATATATTCTGTATCGCTGTTCCCTGGTGTCCTGGGAGCTATCGCAGCGTGCTGCCCAGCTCCGCAGCAGAGCGACGGACAGCAAGCAACTTTCTGCTGGTTGGACTGCGGTAAAGTCCCGGAGAATGCTGTTAAAAATGGATCCAGTGGCCTGCTGTCACATTTTGTCTGCGTATGTATTCAGCCCAAAAGAACTGGGATTGATAGGGGAACGCTTTTTTACTGTGAGGGTGGCCGAGCACTGGCACAGGTTGGCCAGAGAGGCTGTGGAGTCTCCATCCTTGGAGATACTCAGAAGCCATCTGGACGTTGCCCTGGGCAGCCTGCTGTGGGTGGCCCTGCTTGAGCGGGGAGGTTGGACAAGGTGACCTCCAGAGATCCCTGCCAACCTCAACCATTCTGTGATTCTGTGCCAGTAACTTCATGCTGCATTGGTGTGAAATTACATGTGGCTGCTCTTGAGTGACTCGCTTTAACTAAAAAGTTACTAAGAAATTCATTGAATAAACCTCAAACTTTTATTTGAAAATAGTTGTTGAAATAGATTTGCACAGAACAGCAAGTGGTTATTTGAAAAGAGGACTTTGGGCGTAGACAGCCTCAGAGGGATGAAGGCATAGTGTCTGCATGGAGCACAATTAACTGGGCAGGTTAAAAATAAAAGCAGAATTGTTTTGTGTCTAGATCTGTATGACCCACCTCTTGCTCCAGCATAGGCAGGTAATTCTGCCATTTTATTTGTTTGATTGGTATTTAGAGTTGTATTTTTAAAATACGACTGATGAAATGTTTCGACTGAGTTTTATTTTCTTGAAGTCAAAAAGTTCAGGAATGTTATTTCAGGCATAGTTTGAAAATGCAGTATCCACGCTTAACAGATATTTATTTTAAAAAATGTGAACGTATTTGAACATTGCATATGTACGTCTGTTCTTCCAAATCTGTTAGAGAAATACACGCACATCCTTCTCTGTGCTTCATATACAGAAAAATGGTTTTGTGCTTATAAGTTACCAGGATGTAAGAGGCTCAGAAACCTTCCTGCAACATAACCTGAAGTGCCGCAAGTGCACAACGGGAAGAGGCTGTTATATTTATATTGATGTTATGTGACCTTGCAGGGCCTTCGGCCTGGCTGTGTTCGTGATACTTTAGGATCGTACATATCTGGTTGATTTCCATCATTTTCTGCTGGAATTGACAAGATTGTTTACAACAATGATTATTGGTAGTTTTCTTACTTTGGGAATTTACTTCTCTTTTACGTTGGAGCTACAGAATTCTTTAGTTTGTATGCAATTAACTTTTGCTGTATTCATTAGCTTACATTTGCTTTACCTCTTCAAACCATATAAATTGTCGTTGACAAACGGTGCACAGAAGTAACTTCCAGTAAGACTGTTATGTTATGCTATCTCTAATACATTAAGAGTAACTTGCGTGTAGATCCACAGGATCAAAAAGGAGGCCATTGGGGATTTATGGTTTTGAGGAGTGTAAGGAAATGCTTTTGCAGGTCTCTTGGTATGCTAAAAACTTTGGCTTGCTGGAATTTAACAATGAAGTATTCAGAATGTAAAATATGTTTTTATCAAACCCGATGTGTTGATGAATTTAAATAAACCAATACAGCATATCTTTTTTACCTTACATATCTATCTACAAAGATTAGCGTTACAGATAGAAATCCATAATTTACTTGTTAATCTGTTCTCTTTGGTTTGCTCACCAAGCTTGCTATAAAAATATATTTATATATTCTAAGCTTGTACGTTAGTAGGTGCCATTTTCTGAATTTAAAAATAGACTGCATGTGTTGCATAAAATGCCTTTGGGCAGGAGAGGAGGGGGATATCTGCCTGGTTGACGTGGAACGTAAGAAAAAATCTGAAGTATGCTAGAGCTAAATATACTGATAAGCATGCAGCTATTGGGGAAAATGAGTTAAAATATATTGAGTTCAGTCTTATTAGCACGTTAAATGCCAGCAGAACGGTCATACCCAACCTTTTGTTTCAGAAATAATCACCGTTTTGCTGTGAAGACAACTCAGACCTTGTAGCGTGTGCAAACAAAGGAAATACTTCTTCAGAGCCTCGTTACGCGGGGCGACAGTGGTTTGCTCTTTGTTCTGCCAGCCGTCTGCAGCGCTGGTGCAGAAAATGGACGCTGGAATGTTTAAATAAACTTTAGATGCTGTAGCCCCCCAAATGTTTCGAACCGATTCTTCTTTTTAAAAGGAAGTCTGAAGCAGATGTAAATGAGCACGGCTGGGCTTTTCGCGATGGCTCAGGGTGATACACCTCGGGATGCGAGGCTGTGCTGCTTCCTTCGGATTAGTTCATCATCACAGGGAAAGGTGTGAGATTGTTGCAGGCTTAAGAACATGATCACTGCAGCAGGAGGCCCTTGCCGAAGGAGCAAGGTTGGCCTGTCTGTTTATCCCTCAGTTACTTCTGGGTTGGTGAGATCTGTTATGACAAGCTAGTGAAAAAATCCTAGGAGGATTATCCGCAAGGTAACATGTTTTTCTGTCAGTGTAATTAAGCTGGCAATAGAGTAGTATTCTTCAACTCATTTATAGGCTGTGCATTGTAAAATTTCTTGGGAACATCGTTTAAAATAAAGTGATTCACGGGCACGAATATAATAATGTTAATACCGTTCAGCCAAATGCAGCTTGCTTTCAGCTGGCCCCGTACCTGGTGGGGCTGCCCTGTGTAAGGGGCGGCTGGAAGGAGGTGGGTCGGCAGGCACTGTCTGTGTGCGGTGCGATGCTCAGGTGTGTGCGGAGACCCTCCGTGGGGGCCAAGAGGGTGCTGGGGGGCCCAGGAGGTGCAATGCAGGCTTTTCTTCTTGTGTGGGTGGTTGTGTGTACCCAGTCTAGCGTAATGGCAGAGGAGCTGTCGTTGCTGGTGCCCGGTAAGAAACGTTTGTCAGGGCGGCAGAAGTCAGAGATTGGAATGGGAAAGTTCGAGATCCTCCTGTGTAGCTACTGGCTGTGAGTGAGGGCCGCATGCTGCCAGATGGACACTGTGGAGACTGGATTCTCTTCTAAGGCTGGTGCGTTTCTGAGGAATAAACTTGCCTTAAAAATAGTCTGGAACCTTTCATAGGATCTTAGAAGACTGGAGACCAACTCTTGTTGGCAGGGAACGAGGCTTTGACACGTAGTGCCCGTAGGTATGGGCATGGTTGGGTGTAATTTCATTTAACTCACTGGATTTGCATCCGCTACTTTCAGCACCGCATTTGACTCTGTTTTGGTAGCGATTGTTTGTAGATGTTTGGAGACTTCTTTATAGTAATGCTAGAGTTCGATTATTGGGTTTGGAGGGTTTGCTTATTTTATTTTGGGACTGCTCTGACCTAGAGAGTTTTTTGTATGACCCAGGAAGGAGGTTTGGAAACAAGCCCTTGGCTGAACTCTCTAAAGTGCTTCTGTCTGTCCAAGTTACTTTTAGGTTCTTTCACTTATTTAGTAGGGTTCAAATATAAAATCAGAGAGAGCACTGAGGTTGGTTAGCGGTGTCAGCAATACTAATCAAACATAATTCAACTGACTGTCATGTAAAGGAAGGTAAGATAAGGTAGGGGGAGAAGGTGGCAAGTCACTTCAAAAGAGCTCCTCTGAAACTCGGCTCCGCTCTAATATGCCTTTCATATCTTGCTTCTCCTGTCCTCATAGACTGAATCAACCTGACATTTTAGCAATTTTTTAAAGAAAAGGGGTGAAGTTTTAGAATGCATCAAAGAGGTGAAGCAGAGAACATCTGAAGATCATCTTTTATCTGATACCCTCTTTCTTCATGGCAGAGGAGCAAAAGTAGGTTAGGTCTTTGTCCCCGCTTTTCACTTTATGAAGTTTTGTATTGTTTTTCTGTGAAACACGTTTTAGTCAAGAGGGTTTTATTGCAGGAATTACTGTACGTAACTTTCATATTCAGCATCTTTGATTATGTGATTTATCAGGAGGATGTGGTCTTTTGCCCTTCCTGCTACATCCTGTACGTATCCTTTTCACTCTGAAAAGAATTCTATTCTAAAGTAGACCAACAACAGGTTTTGAGTAGATAAGCAGATATATACACATGCATTTATATAAGTATATGCATATATATGTATGTATGTAGTATCTAGGGTCAGATGTACAACAGAGATGTTTTCATTATGTCAGTCCAACTGTTGTAAATGTAGAGAAGTTGGCAGAAAAGAATTAAGCATATTTTCTCTGAAAGTTGTAGGGGACAAAGAATCTGACTTTTTTCTTTCCGAGTCTCTCTTTAATGCGGAACTGCTTTTGAATGGTTGTCTTAAAAAATACTCAGTACAAGTCTGTTTGCCTTGCGCTGGTATTGATGTTAGAAGTCTTACAGATTTCTCTAGGAGCAAAGTTAGGGCAGTGGTGAGTCCATCCAGAAAAGTCTCTATTTTCGGTGGTCCTTGCTGCTGCTATTGAGCTGTAGAAGCTGACTTACGTGTTTCTAAGAGAGACAATCCTTTATTACTGGCTTGTCTAGACTTCGAAAGAGCCAAAAGGTGTGAATGCTTTTTAGAATGTGTTAATAACTTTCCTTCTAGCATGATATGAAGTGTTTCATTTCAGGATTCCCTGCAAGTGTAGCTTGAGCCATTGGTTGCAACCCCCCACCCTGCAAAAGAACCCGCACCCCTTGAGAGAATGGCAGTCATTTGAGTTGAACTGTTAAAGAAGATAACATGAATTAATAATATATATGTATTTCAACTTCAAGCAAACTATTAACGTTTATTTTTTGATACTTTCCAGAGACGCATGGAATCACATTTAGAATTCAAATCAGTGTGAAAGAACTGCTGGATACAGATGTACTTTTAAAGCTGTTATTTCATTTACCAGTCAATTACCCATCAACTCTACCAGATATTTCTGTTAACTCAGACCAGCTTACAAGGGCCCAATGTATGGACGTGAAAGATAAATTACTTGAACAAGCAAAGAAGCATCTTTCTGAACCCATGGTACACGATCTGATTCTTTGGATACAGCAGCATCTTAAATATGTCATTAAGCAATCAGCAACAGTTTGCAATGAAAAAACTACTTTGTCAAAAGGAACAAGTGCAGAGGACGGTATCTGGATGCTCCTTTTGCATTTAGATCACATGAGAGCAAAGGCAAAATACGTCAAAACTGTGGAAAAATGGGCTTCGGATCTAAGGCTGACTGGAAGACTGATGTTCATGGGCAAGATAATATTGATTCTTCTTCAGGGTGACAGGAGCAACATTAAGGTGCAGGAACAATGAATGTTGACTAGTTCTATCGATTTACCACTGAAACCTATGTGTCTGAATATTTTGTGTGTGTTTTTCTAAGATTAACAATTTTGGAAGCAGATTGATCATTACGAGAGTAGGAAGGCCCAACAACTTTATTCTGTATTTAAGAAAACAAAGGTATTCTATGAGAAAGAAACCAGTGGTATGTGTAGACCTGTGGCCTGTATTGCTTTGCTTCCCACTGTAATTATATCCCTGTATTCCCTGTGTTTCCTGACTCTGTAATATGCCTAGGTTCAGGCTCCTGTATTTCCCAAATGCCCCAGAAAACAGAAAATTTGTGATGAGAAATTAGTAACGGACATATTTCTAGCTCATTGCTCACTGTCGCTTTCCTTGGCTTAGACCACGCGGTGCTCCTAGCGCACGCCTGGGCTTTGAACTTCTTGTCTGTACTTACAAACTCCTGCTGCATTAGGCAGGTTTTTGAGGTGATATTGGAGGAGACTGTTTTAGCTTTTCAAACTCACGTTCTCTAGATCACTTAAGACTGTGCTTAACTTCAAGCTGATGAATAGAAACAGTCATGCACTTTTTGGGATGGGCACTTTTGAATTTTGAATGCTGTGTTCTGAAAAAAATCTGTGTGTTTCGTATAGATTTTTGCATTTTACTGAACTTCAAAGATACTAGATGACATTTAATATTTTGTTCTTTTTTGTCATTTAGGAGTACTTGATTCTTCAGAAAACTTCTAAGGTAGATGTGGACTCAAGCGGAAAGAAATGCAAAGAGAAAATGATTAGCGTACTGTGTGAAACAAAAGTACAGTCACAGCATAAAAGGTATAATTTAGTACTGTTGTGGATAGAAAAGTAACAGAATTGATAATTACATTCTGACAAATCCAGGCATATTCATGAGTTTCCCTTTTACAATGTAGGTTTCAGACGTTTGAAGTCAAAGAATATTCAACGCTGGATGAGCTACAAAAGGAATTTGAAACCGCAGGACTTACAACTCTCTTCTCTGAGTTTGTACCTCCTCTCTTAAAATAAAATTAAAAGAAAACACTGGACTCTTTGACCAAAGCTGTATTGACTGCAGATGCTGACGGAAGATAAAAGGACTAATTTGGCAAACGACGTTAAAGCTTTTCTGCAAAAAATGCCAGAAGTAGCCGTCCTCTTGCAAGAAAGAGAAGGCAATTCATAGATTAAGAATGGATAATTTTTTGACATTTATCTATTGATAACTTTTTCCAAGGAATGTGGTAATTGCATGGCAAGCAATTGAGAGATTGGGAAGAAATCATGTTAAAATAATAGTCTTCTAGGTAGACTGTGTTTTGCAATCCCTGTTTTTCAGTGGTTTGGGTTGTCTCTCATGGGTAGTGGCTTTTCATAATGGCCTGCTAGAAAGCATGATTAATTTTGCTTTGAAAGCTTATGTGAAGGTACTTGTGTAAAAAGCATAGCAAATGCAGATTTGAATATGTGAGGATGGCATGTATTTAATATCCCTTAGGTGTTCATCTGCTGACTTTTCCTTCTCCATTTATTTGACTATAAATGCTAGACTGTTAATTTAAAGGAAAAGTTAATGTCACTTTGGGCCTGAAAAAACTTCGAAGTGTCCTTTTGAATGTTAGTTTTTACTCTAAAGTGTATAAAAACACCCAAGTGGAGAATGTAAATTGATCAAAAAGCTAAGGTAGAGCCAATTGTAATATTTTCTTTGATAGTTTACAGATTCCTTTTTGCACTTTATCTGGTTTTACTGTTTGTGCATCTTTGGATATCTTGATTCAATTAAACTGTCAGAGCAGCACATACACAGACTTCAGTCTTCTGTCTCTCAAGACTTCTGTCAAGTCTTCTGTCTTTTTAGAAGCTGGTAAGTTATAACTCCCTATTCAAATTTCCCTACCTTTAGCATTGCTTTTTTGATTGGTCTGTGGCCTTGGCCAGCTTATGAACTTTTTTTGTCACTAGTCTGTGTTTTACTTCAGTATAATGTTCCAAATTATATACATCATTTTTACAAATGAAGTTGTGCAAGTTCTGTTTGCCTAGGGAGAATTGGATACCTACTTCTTGTAATTATTAATGTCCTTTGGTTTCTATTTTACCTGATAACCATTCTCTAGCAAGGCTAGATAAGGTATCCAGTAGTAAAAATTCTGAAGTCATGAGTTCCTCGGTAACTAGCAATGCCATTTCAGTTGGTTTTAGCATGTAGCTAAACATGTGCTTTACTGCCCTCTAAAACTCACTCCCAGCAGCCAAATGTCTCGTGTATTCTTTGTTAACTGTGAATAGGTTTGATCAATTCAGTGTAAATTAAATTCTCTCCGTTGTACTGGGGGGAGACTGGTACAATTTGGTTAGTTCCCATAGTGTGGTTTGGCAAATCATTCCATAAGACATTCTGATTTGTAGTGTCTTACTTAGACCATGAGGTCATACCTCTTTCTTTATGTATACTAGAAAAGCAACTAAAGCAAACTACTAAGATTTTTAAATTTTACTATTTGAGATATCAAACGCACAGAGGATTGTAGACTATTTTGAGAGTTTCTGAAGTTTTGAAGGAGTTTGGTAATTTTCCTAATATGGAGTGTCCTCAAATACGTATGTTGCATGTTATTTTATGCACCGAGGCTTATTTAATGAGACAGTAGCAAAAGCTCTTCTTAATGAGTCTTTCACGTGTAGCACATATAGTACTTCAGGCACAGTAGAAAACAGGCTGGGTTAAACAGGTTTTACAAACCTGTTCTGTATTATTTTGAAATGGCTTCCTGAGAGAAAGGAAATCTGATTTTCTACCATTTTAAGTGTATGCGGAGATGAATTTTTACTTTTATAAAGAAGAATAAAACACAAGTATCTTTAAAATATTAACTATAATTTAAAATACATGTTATTTTTTCAGAACTGAGCTATTCCCAGTTACAATATCCATGTTGAAAAATTGTGTGTCAGTGGAGTACAAAAAGATGCAGAGGCTCTGTCCTTATACTATGCGATAGATCTGACGAGTATCAAAACCAAGAAAAGGCCTATGCATGTACAGCATAAGAAAACGTGATCAGTATCTCTCTGCAAATCTAAATGTTGTAAGGTTTTGCCTTATGGATTTTATGTCCTCAGCCAGATCTTTACTTTAAAATGCTTCACTTTTCTGGAAAGAGAACAGTAAGGTACTTCAGCACAACCTATATCACAATCTTAGCCGTGTCTCAGTGTCTAGCCGGGGCCTTACCCAACATGCATATAAATCAGTTATATATGCTTTCTGTTGATTTTGGGAATTGGGTTGAATAGTGTTCTTAATCACGCGATCTCAAATTGGATGTGACTGCAAAAATAATTGAGGCATACAGTCGTTGTGGTCGTCTTCCGTGCAAGATTAGATGCAGACTCTCCAACTTTTTCCTCCCTACTATAAAAGCTACTGTAATTAGCTGCATAAGAGAAGCCATTTGTAGGGCTAGTGGTTGCCAGTTGCGCTTGGATATAAACTCATGTATTTTCTTGAATGTTATTGCCTGATGCCTTCTTGGTTAACTATTACAGCTAGCATTCTGCAACAGCCAATTTTGAGAAGCAAAAAAGGTTAAAGAACAAATGACCATTGGGTAAGTTGCAGCTCTCTTCTGATCTGTGCTCATCTTCTTGCCAGATGAAGTTGTTGTAAGGAGCTAGATGATTTCTGTATTTCAGGAGTTGTAAAAACCAGTTTATATGATGGATTTTTATCATAGTTGAATTTGTTACTCGCTAACTTACATTGGACAAATCAACAAGTGCGGTGTAGGAACGGACTGCAGTTTTTTTGCTTGGCTTGATGTGCTTCAGAAGAATTACAAATCGCATTAGCTTGATACTGTTCAGACAGCAGGGGACATGAAAACTGGTGTCAGTCTGATTCTGTCAAAGCGAATGCTTTTGCCTACCCATCAGTCACTTATTTTGAAGGGTAGGAGGATATCTTGTGTTCAGACAAGTAAACAATATTTTTAGAGGTTTTTCTTTTGGAAGGATGTTGCAGCTGTCTGTTAACTGATGGCTTGTTTGCATTTATTGTAAAAAGAGATGGGCAAGCCTGTGAGCCCCTGGGGCACAAAAGTCATCGAAATGCGTACTGTGGTGCATGTTCCGCCCTCCAAGGGAACTGAAGCAGGCACAGAAGAGCAAAACGCAGGGAAACGAAGTCAAAACTCCTGAGAATCGTTACAGAATGCCTATCAGTGTCTAAAAAGCCAGTGAAGTGTATGTAGCTATCAGAATCAGACAATTCAATTGCAAGGAAAAAGAAATCCACAAAGAAAAGAATGGTTTAACAAATAAGAAGCTAGCTTTCTTGTGGATATTGTATTATAAGTAGTTCTTCGAACAGCATGGTTAGTAAAGCCTCATTTCGTGTGGACTTTCTTGTTCTAAAAAAAATTGGCACACATGAGGCCTTTCTTGCAGAAGACACATTCATGATGTTGCCCTCCCAGGTGGGTTCCACGATGCCTGATACTGATTGTGCTCTCTGCGTAAATCATTGAAGTATCAATAGCATTTTTCTCTGCTACCTGTTTGCATCAAAGTTGTAGGAACTTGGTTTCTCTCAGGCTGTTAACCTCTCATTTTAATTGAAATGAGTTGAATTTGAAACTTCTAGAATTGTGTAGTATAAATACGCGCGCTTCCGTACGGACAGCCCAGCCGCATAACCGGAGTTTCCTTTGAAAATCAGGCTAAAATGAAAGCTATTGCAATAGGAGTGACTACTTGAAGAAGCGAGTTTGTAGGACGAAACTGAGGTTTGATTGGTCTTTTTGAATCCCTTGGCTTACTAAGTGTGAAGAAAGCACGAAATGGATTAAGAAAGAAAGAAAGATACATAGAAATAGGAGCAAAACCCCAAACCCAACATCAACCCTATTTGCACCGTTCAACCGTCAACCCAACAACACCATGCCCACTAAACCATGTCCCTAAGCACCTCATCTACCCGTCTTTTAAATACCTCCAGGGATGGGGACTCAACCACTTCCCTGGGCAGCCTGTTCCAATGTTTAACCACTCTTTCAGTAAAGACATTTTTCCTCACGTCCAATCTAAACCTCCCCTGGCGCAACTTGAGGCCGTTTCCTCTCGTCCTTTCGCCAGTTACTTGGGAGAAGAGACCAACCCCCACCTCGCTACAGCCTCCTGTCAGGTAGTTGTAGAGAGCGATGAGGTCTCCCCTGAGGCTCCTTTTCTCCAGGCTAAACAACCCCAGCTCCCTCAGCCGCTCCTCATCAGACTTGTTCTCCAGACCCCTCACCAGCCTCGTTGCCCTCCTCGGGACATGCAGGGAGAAGAGACGGCACTGGCTGTGTCGGGCAGGTTTGCTGGCGAACGGCATGCGTTCACTTTTTCTGCTCCTTTCATATGATTCACGAGTGTCGTATACCTGCGTTTTCTGTGGTACGAGAAGAAGGCTGGCCTGGTCGTCTGAGGAGCACTTCTCTCTCGTTGCCCTTTGTGCAGCAAGCGTAAATTGAAGTAACCAAAAGGGCAACATGAGATCCAGATAATTTTTGATATTACATGTAACATCAGGTCTTGCTACATAATTATGCTACTACTATGGCAGAGTAGTGATGTCTCTGGAAGCAAGGACATTAGAGCGCTAACAAGTTAAATTACTCAATTCTGCAAGAAATCAATCTTTCTACAGTTTTGTTTTTTAGAATCATTACTGACCGCCGTTGTGACCCAAGTCTGTAGAGAAAACCATCTCTGTCTTGGTAGAGGGAGGAATAAAACTCCCTTCTTTTCTGTATTAATCTTCCAAGGCATTATCTATAGCATTAATATGTACTATTTATATTTAAGGGTTTTTATTATCATCTCTTGGAAAGAAACCTTTGCGAGCAGCACATACTGTGAAGTAGCCTACCGTTCAGGAGAACAGCACGACTTCAGCAGAAGTAATGTGAAGTTCCGGAGGAGGGGGATACTTTTAACGGGGGACATCGTCAGCATTGGGAATTCATCGGCTTTTTTTACTTACTCAGTCTCATCAAGGTTGTAATCCCTGCACCACACCCCCCCTTTGTTATTTGCTGTTACAGGGAGGACGAGATGCTGTGAGAACTCGGAGATGAAAAGCCTTGACATAATTGATGAAAAAAGCCGTTGAAAGTAGTTTTGATTGTTTTGTGAATAAGGCTGCTTTTTGTGGTTTTGTAGTTCTATCTCATTTTCCTGTGATAAGACTATTTGTCTCTTATTTCTGTGTGAATGACCCGCAAAACCCACCGAGATCAGTGTGAATTATACGCAGAAGTGCTGTAATGAGCCCAAAGAAACTTCATAGTGGAAAAATATTTTGTTTACATTGTTTCCTTTAAAAATAGTTTAATAAACCCCACATACGGATGATTTAAGACCTGGCATCCCTTGATTTGTTCAGCTTTATCTGTGAAAATACAAACATAATAATGTTATAGTTCATTTGAAATAAGATGATGAAACGTTGCACACACTGTATTTCTGCCAGAGTTTGAAACTGAAATTGCTTATGTTATGAAATAGTGCAATTGCTGGAATCAGCTTTCATATATCTCATAGTAGCATGAAGCATTATCATCCTTTCTCTTTGTGCATAACGCATGCAACACCGGCAGCACTCTGTTCTGGTTTTGTATTCTATACGTATACTTAACTTTATGTTATCTTATGCCAGAGTTATGATTGTTTATATGCTTAATTATAGACATAAATGGAACTTGAAATGTAAATACGCTAATAGCATTTTGCAGTTATTGTTCTGTGCTATTTTCAT